TAACATAGCATGACATGACATGACATAACATAACATAACATAACACATCATAACATAACATAACATATCATAGCATAACATAACATAACATAACATAGCATAACATAACACAACATAACACAGCATAGCATAACATAACATAACATAACATAACACAACATATCACAGCATAGCATAACATAATATAACATAACATAACATAACATAACCTAACATAACCTAACATAACCTAACATAACATAAACTAACATAACATAACATAACATAACAAAACCTAACATAACCTAACATAACCTAGCATAACATAACATAACATAACATAACACCCACCTAACATAACATAACATAACACAACATAACATAGCATAACATAACAGAACATAACATAACATAACATAAAATAAGCATAACATAGTCCAGTACATAATGTAACACCCAAGCCGAGCCTCCAGGAGACGTGCAAGTCGCTCTACAAGTTTGCCCTGCGAACCCTGCTGGCATGATCCTGAGACCAGCCGGTATGACAGAAGAGAACTGTCAGTGCTCAAGGTTTCGGGTGGGTTTTGGGGCCCCTAAACCCTAACTCCTAAACTTTTGAGGGTTTAGGGTTTAGGTTTTAGGGTTTAGGGTTTGGGGCCCCTAAACCCTAAACCGTTGAGGGTGTTGCTGGAGTTTGCTTGGGTTTTTGACATGGCGACACTTCAGCATCATGCCAGATTCGGAGGTCCTTGGCAAGGGTAATATGTGGTTCCTGATTATAAGTATAGTATAATATTCCCCAAAACCTTATTCTAATTATGGAGGCACCTATATTACGCTTTCGTTGCAACTATCTCGTAATCTGGAATCCCAGCAGTAGCCTTCTCAGGAGCAGTCCGCCTGGTCGTGGATGTTTGGGCAACGCAGGGATGTGTTGCAGTATATTTGTCACTGCAACTCTTCATTTCATCCCAAAGGACCCGGCTACGCTTGAGAAGAAGGTCCAGTTGAAGAGATCTCCAATGCTCAAACCCTGTTTAACTTCTCAACCCTTGATTTGCCTTGAACCTGCTGCTCTTCAGGTGCTCTTGCATGACTATCCCGAGTTCCTGGCCGACTATCACCATGCCTTCTGCCGCAGCCTTCGTGCTTTCTGATCAGCGAAGACGACCAAGACAAACTTGATGAGAAGCATCTTCCGTCTAAGGTGATGTCATCCCATGGCAATGTGTCCAGATCCGCCGCTGGTCCGCAACATGAAGCCAAGGTGAGAGAGATGGCAGAGTCCGCCGAACTTCAGAGGTCATGGTGGTTCCGGCAGCCCTGTACTGCCAAAAGGCGTCAATGAACTTTAACTCAGTCTCAGCACAAGAAACGACAAGGCGGCAGACTTCGCAATCTCACATGGGTTCGTGCTAACTTACAACACAATCTAGGTGAACATGGTGTTTCCATAGACCCACGGGTGGCTTGGCGCGAACTGCAGACATGCCCATAACTCCATAGCACGCCCTGCAGATCCCTGAGCGTGGATCGAACACCCAGTTGTGAACGCCAAAGGCAACTTGATATTGGCCGCGTTCCCACAGAACATGAAGCTGTCGATTCCTCAGTGCGAGCTTCCTGCGATAGGTTTGGGAGAGCATCGAAGAGTGTGTACGTGCAAGGTCTCTACCTCAAAATGTCGCAGCTCCGAATGTTGGCCAAATTTCAACTCCCCGAGCACTGCGGCGTTAGGTCTGAACATGAAGTGCCGAGGTTGCTAGATGACAATCGCCCAATCGTCTTATCAGGTCTTGTGCCCAAATCCTCCTGACAATGATCGAGGCCTGATCCCTTCACGCAGAACCTGAAGGTGGATACTCTGCCGGAGATCAAGGCCTGATCTCATGTCACATCATCTGGTGCGCAAAGATCGCTTGCCAATAATCCCATGTACTTTGCGCAGATGGCGCCGGTGATCCACTCCACCTACATGTCCAAGATGATGATCTCAGGCTTGAAGGCATGGAGGGGCGGAGTGCCGGGTGCATAAGCATTTTGAAGTTGTGGTGCCATTGGTGCGATCATTAGAATCTTCCTATATCGGGCCCTGTTTTGGTGATTGTCTTACACCGACATGAAGAACGGATCCCTCATCCCCACAAATTTGCTTATCCGTCACAACGTAACGCTTGCGCCGGGCGGCTGGTTGTTGGTAGTATGTGGCAGTATAGGTCATAAAAGTAGAGTGCTGACTGAAACATGAGCATAATGAACAAGTCTAAGGTTACTCTAATATGAGAGCATTAGAAGCTTGCCATAATATACGGGTATCGTGGGTACTGTTGGGGGGGTACTGTAATCTAAGGGTACGATAAGATGAGCAAGCTCGCACCATGCAGTGGTCCCCTTCACAGGCGGATGTTGACCAGTACATCCGCACGAAGGCGACCTAGGGCAGTCTGGCGATGCTCGCGATGGCGGTGGTGGTCGTGCTTGTCGTAACACTAGAAGTGGGAGTTGCAGAAGCGGTTGCTGCTGCTTTCGAGGTTGTGATGGCTGCTGATGCTGTTGCTGCTGCTGCTGCTGGTGTTGTTGTGGTTGTGGTTGTGGTTGTGGTTGTGGTTGTGGTTGTGGTTGTGGTTGTGGTTGTGGTTGTGGTTGTGGTTGTTGTTGTTGCTGCTGGTGTTGTTGTTGTTGTTGTTCTTGTCATTGTTCTTGTTATTGTTGTTGTTGTTGCTGTTGCTGATGCTTCTGTTGTTGTTGTTGTTGATGATATTGATGTTGATGATGTTGTTGGTGTTGTGGTTGTCGTTGTCCTTGCCGTTGTCGTTGTGGTTGTGGTTGTCGCTGTGGTTGTGGTTGTGGTTGTTCTTGGTTGTTGTTGTTGTTGTCGCTGGTGTTGTTGTTGGTGTTTTTGGTGCTGTTGGTGTTGTTGTTGTTGTTGTTGTTGTGGTTGTTGCTGTTGTTGCTGTTGTTGTTGATGATATTGATGTTGATGATGTTGTTGGTGTTGCCGTTGTCGTTGTCGTTGTCGTTGTCGTTGTGGTTG